AATCGGTCGAAGTTTTATATGGGAGCTATATCCTAATCTGAACCGATCTCGATAAAATTTGGCATACTTATTTTCAGGCCTAATTTGGTTGTATGTATGTATGTATTTCATACTTTTCGGGCTGATATTACACGTTTGGTGCACAATAAAAAGCAAATCGGACGAATATATATATGGGAGCTATATCTAAATTTTGACCGATTATCTCCAATTTCAATAGGGTTCGTCCTTGGGCCAAACAAATGATTTGTGCATTTTATCTGAATAGGGCAATAAATGCGAACTGTACTTTGTTTACAAACGGACATGCATAAATCCACTCAGAATGTGATTCTATGTAGATCATCAAAAGGAACTATGGTTCTATCTTGTTTCCTTTTGCCTGTTACAAACAAATGCACAAAGACATAATACCCTGACCACCTTGTGGTGTAGGGTATAAAAATATATGGCCGAGTTGCACAAAATGGAAACGTACGACCCGAAATTCACTCCATCTGGGCTGATATTAGCCATTATTTGCCTGAAATCGGATTAAGAATATATGTGGGAGCTACATCTTAGCCGTTCTCGATAAAATTTGGCAAAGGTATTTCCGAACTTTAGAAGATATCTAGTACCAAATATCATTGTTGTCGAATGCATATTACGAATGTGAGGGACTTAAACACCAAATTAGATGAAACATATATATGGGAGCTATAGCTATATCTGAAATTGCTTCTAGATTGAATTCGGTTGGATGTACCAGATATTGGCGATTTGGTGCACAATTAGCCTGAATTCGGTTGAGGATATATATGGGAGCTATATCCAAATCTGAACCGATCTTGACAAAATTTGATGCACTTATTTCAGAACTGTATCTGGTACCAAAGATTATTGTTGTGGAATGCATATTACGCTTGTGAGGACTTTTAACCCCAAATCGGGTAAAACATATATATGGGAGCTATAGCTATAACTGAACCGATTTTCTCCAAATGTGAAGTACTTGCTTCTAAACAGAATTCGGTGGGGTGTACAAAAATACAAGTAATTTGGACTTATATTAGCCATTTGGTGGACAATTAACGCGAAATAATATTCCGAACTTCATATGTATATAAATGCATTTCTTCAGTGTGAGCATGAAAATTGCGATACATTAGAAAATGTTTGAATAGCATTCATTCACTCTTCTTTTGACGGCTTTTTTTATGAGCGGATTATCGATAAAATGTTGCAACAATTGCATCAAAACCATTGCTATATTTATACAGCCAGTGAATGGCAGCAAATTTTATTACCTCTTCCTTTGGCCATATTTACAGCAGGAGGAATATGAACGTTTTGCTAAAAGCCCACAATGGCTTCCATAAAAAACGACACAGCAGAACAGCAGCAACAACAACAATTTAATGAATAATTTCGTTACATTTTTGTGACAAAACGAAAAATATTTTTGGCTTATGCCAAAATGATGGTTGTTCTGTGCTAAACTAATAAAAATCGAATAAAAAAACAAAATTATTTTTGGACACTACCATGAGAGAGAGAGAGGGAGCACTACTCTTTCCGAGTCGAAATTTGGTTAAAAGCCTTTATTCCGGGGAAAAGGACGCTGTGGGTTAGCAGGCATTTTGATGATGGTGCTGCTAGTAGCACTAGTTGAAATGTTTAGCCATAAAAATATGGCCAATATAAAATACAATTTATTTGTAAAATGTCCATAATTTGTTGCAACAACAATTTCGTTGTTTTGTTGAGGACAATTGGGAGGAAAATGCAATTCTTTTAAAATCGTGGGATATAAAACGAATTTTCCCAGAAAATAAAAACAAACATGACCAAATGTTAGACATTAAAAATCGGTTTAGCTAAAATGTTCATCGAAACGGCAGCGGTCGTTCAAAGAGGATGCGGAATAGAACATTCTTTATTGTGTGAGGGGGAGGGAAGGTGGCATACATTTTGCACTGCGGCCATTATAAATCACTTAATCCACCACATGATACACATTTGTTTGCTTCTTCATCACTGATGGGTCACTGGCGTGACATGCACAACAATATTGCCATCAACTCACCCACAATGTGCAATTTCCTGCATTTGATTTGCATCATGCAATGCGCGTTAACGTCAGTGGCGCCCAATCCGGTGACATTACCTCAGGGCATATTTGGAGAATGTGTATTTTTGATTGGTCCATTGTTATGCAATTTGTGAGGCATGCGTCCGAACGGAAATTCACCATAAAGTAACTAATTTCAGAAGGATGATCGAGAAATGGTTAAGTGATTTTTAAAAAAGTTCGAAATACAGGGTGAGATAAAATAAAAACTGCAACAAAGTCAAACGCCATAGTTTTTACATTTTTTTAATTATATTAAATGAAACAAAAACATTACGGGAATAGCATCAAATTTTAGAATAAATTTATATTTATTCAAATTGTCACCTTTGACACGAATTATGGCCTTCAAACGGCCAATGACAGCGTCACATGCTGCCCGAATGTTGTTCTGCGGTATTTTGGCCCATTCCCGTCGAAGCCCTTGCTTGAGGTGATCGACACTTTGGTACTTTTTAGTGCCAACCTTGCTTTTCAAAATACTCCAGACACAAAAATCCAACGGATTGGTATCCGGAGATTTTGGTGGCCATTGTGAGCTGGACATGAAGCGAGGAACCTCATTTTCTGACCACTCTTGGGTGGCGCGTGCTGAGTGCGATGGTCCTAAATCCTTTTGCAATGTCCAAGGTCTGTGGTCAAAATATTTGAGTGTCCAAGAATATTTTCGCGATAATATTCGGTATTTATTCTGATGCCACGGTCGATTAATACGAGCGGAGAACGACCATCGGCTGTTATGGCGGCCCACACCATGACCGGCGCTTGAGTTCTGGTGGCCAACCGAAAGTGCACATTTTCAGCTTACCTCTTTGGCAAGTAAACACGATCATTATCTTTTTTTTTACAAACTGCTGGACAACGAATGTTTTCTCATCGGAGAAAACCAAAGTGGGCAGTTCACCACTTCCGGACAAGCGAAGAAATTCTTTAGCTCTTTTGAGTCTATTATCATTCTGTTGCGGTGTAAGTTCTTGCACTTTTTGGAATTTCAATGAATTTATCCAGAGCTCATTTTTCAATATTTGCCGAATTGAATATTGCGATATTATCAGCTCACGAGCCATTTTTCGGCCACTGCGACGAGGGTTTCGATCAGTTTTTATACCCTACAACACTATGTGTTGGGGGTATTATAAGTTTGATTGGGCCAGAATTTATGTAACACCTCGAAATATTGGTTTCCCATATAGGAAAGTATATATGGATCTTCCTAGCTCGCCGAGCTGAGTCGATCTAGCTATGTATGTCCGTCCGTCCGTCTGTCCGTCTGTCCGTCTGTCCATGTTAATTTGTAATCACTCTACAGGTCGCAATTATGGCCCGATCTTCACGAAATTTAGAATGGAGGTGGGGCTTAGGTCAGAATAGAACCCTATTTCTTTTGGAGATGATCGCATAATATTTAGGGGTTGATATGGACCAAATACTAAAAAAAATGTCGGATTTTGCAGTAGCTATACAGGTCGCAATTATACACCAATCGAAGCGGAATTTCGCATGTAGCTAGAGTCTAGGGCGGGGAAGAAGCCTACCAATTTGGGTGGTCATCGGATAATATTTAGCGGGTAAAATAGACCATATCTTTTGTGTTGAAAAAATTCAAAATTTTTCATTAAACCGCGAATATTTTAAATACCGGCGAAATCACAAAGCCATGACAAGGTTACTTCTGACCTTTACATTGATATTAACATCCAACAAATCGGATATATAGCGAAATGTGTGCGATATATATGTCTATCAAAGAAGATATACTTGAAAGATCTGTTATATGTCGAGAACGGCTGAACTGATTTCGACAGTTCTCATTAATTCAGAATGGCCTCTTGGCAGGAAAAAAAAAAGTCTAAAAAAACCGCATAAAAATATCTCTCTAATGATGAAAATATTGATTTTGTAAAATTTTCTCATATTTTTTCAGTTTTGTCATATTTTTGGCATATTTTCATTTTGAATTAAACATTTGGTAATATTTCTACAGCTAACAAAACTAAGTAGTTAGGATATCAGGATATCATTTACAGATCGCATTTATGGGCCGATCCTTACGAAATTTTGCATGGGGATAAGATGAGGGTCAGAATAGAAGCCTACTCTTTTTGGAGATGATCGCCATATATTTAGGGGTTGAAATGGACCAAAAAACTGCAAAATTGTCAGCAGGTCGTAATTATCAACCGATCCTCACGCACATTTGAATGGGGGTTACCGGACATTGCAAAAGCCAAGCAGTTTTGGATGGCCATCCAAAAATATTCAATGTGGGAAATAGTTTGCCAACTTTTGTAGACAAAATACGAAAATGTCCATTCCAGTGACTTTTTGGAGAATTCACAAATACAGGAAAGACGCACTTCTGACTATTTCGTTAACGCTGATTTCGTTGAAGAATATAGTCAAATGGCTGTATCTCATGTAGATGCGTTTCAATCAAAAACCAATAATAAATGTTAATATTTTGCCACTTCTGAGAGATTATAGGTCCTTGGGAAATATTGGTTCCAGATCTAGGAGGACCATTTACGTGCAACATCTACCAATAAATTGGAAATGAGCAAATTAGTTTAAGTTGCTATTATTCGAAAATTAGAGAACGAAACCTGATGGTTTTCTTTTATTATTTGTCACAATATCTTGTGGAATTCTTTCGAGTATCTCGCCTATATAAACTGTATCGTTTATTATAATGTTGTAGGGTATTCAACGGTCGGCCCCGCTCGACTGTAGCCTTTGCTTACTTGTTTTCATTTCATTTAGTGTGCCATAAATTTTCAGAAAATTTATTTTACTTATCAACGTCTTTTTAAAAGGAATTAATTTGAATCATTTTTATTGATGGTTGATTAATTCTACTGGCCTCTTCATATTTTATTTTCACGGTTCAAATTTTTTATTATCACGAACTCGGCATCCCTAATAACCTGACGTAATATGTAGAATTGTTGGCATTTATATTTCAATAAATGTAATATTTAAAAAAAATTCTTATTAAAATATGAAAACGTAAGTTTCAATTTATTGAACCTGTAGATCCTTTGCAACTTAATCTTTTTTCACAAGGATTGAACTGCAAAGAATAAAATCGATGAGCATTTCTCATGAAAAGGGTCGACAAAGTCAGCAGGGAGGCAAGTATCAAAACAATTCATTTTGTGATATTTAAGATTACATTTTGTTTAGATTCCCATAATATTACCGCAGAGAAATTGTTCAATCCATCTATTGAATATGACGATTTATTGCTGAAATTGAAAGAGGAATTCAACAAAGTCTGGGATACAGCCAAAACATCGCCCGATAATGGTCTTGAGGGGTTCGATGAGTTGGCCACATTGGGTGCAGGATCATTTGGTCGTGTGGTAAGGAAAATTCCAAGTCAAAAATATAAATAAATAAATGAAATAAAATAAATACATTTTTCTTGTACAGATTTTGGTTAAAAATCGTCAAACTGGTAACTATTATGCAGTGAAAATATTAATTAAGGATCAAATTGTGAAGACGAAACAAGTGACCCATGTCCACACTGAGAAGAGAGTATTGTCATCTATACGATTTCCATTTTTAATTCACTTGGAATTTTCTAGCAAAGATTTTGATTATCTGTATTTGGGATTGCCCTTCATCAATGGTGGTGAATTGTTTACCTATCATCGCAAGTAAGAATGAGATACCTTTGAATATTTTACTTTAAAATTATACATTATTCCTTTAAAGAGTTCGCAAGTTTAATGAGAAACAGGCACGGTTTTATGCATCCCAGGTTTACATGGGTCTAGAGTATTTACATGGCATGAGTTTGTTGTATAGAGATCTAAAACCTGAAAATATTCTCATCGATTCCAAGGGGTATATAAAAATTACAGATTTTGGATTTGCTAAGGTATCTCGAAATATTATTATCCTGATTATTCTACCTCACAATGTCCTTAACCACCTTAGAAAGTAGAAACCCGTACAATGACATTGTGTGGAACACCCGAATATTTAGCTCCTGAAATTATTCAATCTAAACCCTATGGCACAAGTGTCGACTGGTGGTCCTATGGCATACTGCTCTATGAATTGGTGGCTGGAAATTCTCCTTTTTCTCCACACAACAAAGATGTCATGATGATGTACACTAAGATCTGTGATGGAGAATATAAAATGCCTACATTTTTCAGTGCACCTCTGAAAGATTTAATTGATAATCTGCTGCAAGTTGACCTCTCGAAAAGGTAATGCAGTTGCATTTTTATGTATACCATCTAAAGAAGTGATATAATAATTCTTCACTCGTTTAGATTCGGTAATTTGGTCAATGGAAACAAGGATATAAAAAATCATGCCTGGTTCAAGAACGTCGACTGGTATGGACTTTTAAATCAAGATTTCGCAGCACCATTTATACCGCGTGTGACCAATATGGAAGATGTCTCCAATTTCGATCGATTTCCCGATCCAAAACCATTGCATCGATCTAAAACCAATCGTCATGCAGATTTATTTGTGGATTTTTAAATTGTACAAATAAAAGATTGCATCTGAATATTATGAGTATCGTTTTCAGTTCTTCAGGAGAAAGGAGCCTTACTGCTCATCTATATGATGAGCTTTTCTATGTGAAGACATTCTCCTATTCTATCTGAAAACCCAATATTCTTCTATAAAAATATCATATATTCTTTAATAAAATGATCATTAATCTCTTGATCGTCATCGGGATGACTTTCTGCTCTATTATGACAAGAACTTCTGCTGTTATGTATGGATACTTAATTCGTATTCTGAGATTTTCTTTGAATAACTTTGTCTATGATACACAATCCCATTGATCTTCTCTTAGAAGCAAGCTAGTTATGAGCAACATGAGAATTTTGATTTTGTAAGAGAAGAAGGTTTTCCATAATAAACTTCGCATAATCTGTGGGAAAACCTATGTATCTTCTTTTATTCTATGGGAAGACTTTCACATTTTCTATAAAAGATCTTCTGAATACCTTTAGGTCTTCACGTCTTCTATAAAAAGAACTTCTTAGAAATTGTTAACATTTTTTACAGTTTTTGCTTGAGATTATGACATAACCGACATTCCCTAAATTTGTATTTGTTATATCTGAAACAAGTAAGCAAAGGCTATAGTCGTGCAGGGCCGACCATGTGATACCCTACAACACTACAATATATTAGAAGCCCCCTTATGTCCAAATCCATTTTGGAAGATTTCGCTTTTGAAACAAGTAAGCAAAGGCCATAGTCGTGCAGGGCCAAACTCTAACTTCATGCGAGATTTCGTATCCTTTGGTTTCCATTTGTGGCGTTTATAGCGGATGCAAAATCAGGAAAATTTTTAGTTGGTGGTCCATTTCAACCCCTAAATATATTGCGGACATTTTTGGAAACAATAGGCCTAGCCGCTCTGAGCCTTACCCTACGATAATTGCAATCTGTATATAATAGCCCCAACCTGGGTTGTAAGGTGAAAAAAATTACAAAATGTACACCTCAATATTATCAGTCAAATTGAAAAAATCGCATGCGATAAAAAATATAAAAAAAATAAAAATATGTCACAAAATACTACAAAATCTATATTAACATTAAAATTGGCATCTTTTTATGCGATTTTTTTTAGATTTTATTCTTTTATGCCAGGAGGGCATTCAAAGTTGACAAAATTTGTCAGCCATTCTTGAGATATAAGCATTTTAGCTAACATCCCCTTCCTTTGTTTATATACATTCTTTATATTTCGCTATATATATCCGATATACTTACTATCGGCATCTACGTAACGGTCAGAATTGACCTGTTCGTCTATTTGTGATTTCACCGGGACTAAAAATATTCGCGGTTTAATGTAAAATTTGACTTTTATGTAACACAAATGTTGTAGTCTATTTCACCCACTAAATATTACCCGATGACCATCAAAATTGGAAGGCTTCTGCCTAGCCTTAAGCTCTAGCCCCATGCTAATCTCCTTCGATTGGTCCATAATTGCGACCTGTAGAGCAACTGCAAAATCAGGAAATTTTTCAGTTTTTGGTCCATTTCGACCCCTAAATATTATGCGATCATCTCCAAAAGAAATAGGGATGTATTCTGACCTTAACCCCATAGATCCTCACAAAATTTTGCATGAAGGTGGAGTTACAATCAGAATAGAAGCCTATTTTCTAGCGATGATCGCAGAAAGAGACCAATTTTAATTATATGTAAGTATCTGCATTCAAACGTGTTCCACTTCAAACTACAAATACCCGTAAGATCGTTTGGATAAAGCTGTTAAACTTTTCAAATAACCAACCAACGTTATATGTGCGCTATAAGAAAACGTGGGCTTAAATTTTCAATGTTCTGTCGCCGGAACTTGAACCCATTATGAACTACTAATACCAATTTTTAGACAAATTTGTGAAATAATGTGGCAAAAATCATCAAAATACTGAATATTCGGAGGTACCGTTATATGGGGGATGTACGAAAAATTGGACCTATATACAGGGTGAGATTAAAAACTGCAACTAAGCAAAACGCCATCAGTTTTACATTTTTTAAATTTTTTATGAATAAAAGCAAAAAATGTTGGAAATAGAATAAACTTTTAGAATAAGTTTAGATTTGTTCGAATTGGTCACCTTTGGCACGAATTATGGCCTTCAAACGGTTAATGAAACCGTCACACGCTGCCCGAGTATTGCTCTGCGGTGTTTTGGTCCATTCCCGGCGAAGTGATTGGTATTTTTTTGTGCCATCCTTGCTTTCCAAAATATTCCAGACACAAGAGTCCAACGGATTGGTATCCGAAAATTTTGATGGCCATTTTGCGCTGGAAATGAATCGAGGAATCTCATTTTGTAACCATTCTTGGGTGGCAGGTGTTGAGTGCGATGGTGCTGAGTCCTGTTGGAATGTCCAAGGTCAGCGGCCAAAAGGTTTGCATACCCAAGGCTTTAATACACCCTCGAGAATAATTTCGCGATAATATTCGGCATTTATTCTGATTCCACGGTCGATTAATACGAGCGGAGAACGACCATCGGCTGCTATGGCGGCCCACACCATCAATCATGGCCGGCGCTTGAGTTCTTGTGGACAACCGAAGGTTCAAATTATCAGCTGACCTCTTTGGCAAGTAAACACGATCGTGTTGTTTCGGAGAAAACCAAATTCGGCAGTTCACCACTCTCGGCCAAGCGATGCAACTCTTTAGCTCTTTTGAGTCTATTTTCCATCTGTTGCTGTGTAAGTTCTTGCACTTTTTGAAATTTCAATGTCTTTACCCCGAGTACATTTTTCAATATTTGCCAAATGGAATGTTGCGATATGTTCAGCTCACGAGCAATTTTTCGGCCAATGCGACGTGGGTCGGTCAAGTAGCTTCTTTACTTTTCGACCCATTTCTGCTGATGTTGCTGGTTTCTTCCGTCCACATCCTTGATGTCGGGCTACGCTACCACTATCACGGTAACGAGTGATGGTAAGATACACAAAAGATTTTTTAACGTTTAAATGCTGGAGTGCTCTAACAATAGCCACTTGTGGATTCCCAGCCAAATATAAAGAAATCACACTATCACACTTGAATTCCATCACGAATAACTTTTTTTCTGGAAAATTTTCACCAAAATGCTTTTGTACGCTTGTAAATAGCATTAGTCTGAAGTTGGTTGCAGTTTTTTTATCTCACCCTGTATACGTACGTTATGGGTTCTAAGACAAATATTTTTAGGGATGTTACAAACGGAATGACAAATTTAATATAAAGAGGGTATATTAAAAGGTGGAGGGTATAAACATGACCTCTATTGTTACATTGATTTTCCAAGAAAGGGGTAAACGAGGTTGAGGCTTCACAGTCGGATATTAGTGAAGTCAAGGTTGCAAAGTTAAACAAATTTTGATTATCAATTATGAGAACAGAAAAAAGATGTGGGTGAAAATGTTTGGCCAGCCATATCATGGTTGAGTGAAAAACAATAATGTTTCGTACAATATATTTCACCGATGGAAGGTAACAATTCCTGGACATTATTGTCAAGACTATGCGAAAGGGTTTCCGTGCTGCGTAAAACTTTGTGTTCCAATAGAGATAAACAAAAGTTCGTCATGGAACAGTTGATGTGCTGGCTGGCTAACTGCATGATGCTGCAAAACAACCCCCAAAATATAACTTGGGTATGAGTTTGCAATGTCCGCCTTTTGTTTCCGGTTCAGGCGGCTGACGTCACGCTCTATATTATTGTTGTCTATTTGTGTGACAAGGGATACCTTAGCGCGCTAGCCAAAAATCCAAAATGACATTTTTCCCTTTTGGTTTTCCGTTGTTAGAGGCATCATCTGGATTAGTTACACCTTTTGATTGCATACAATACCGTTCATGTAGATTATATTGTGTGTTCTACAGAGGCAAGGGGTATTGAATTGGTTTATGGTATTACGAAAACAATGTTTTCAATAGAGCTGATAATTGTCAATGCCATTTATTTGAAGCAATCAACAATGGAAGTATGGGAATAATGTAGCAAGCGAAATCCTTAGGCTTTCATAAAAAGCTCTTTGGTTTCATTTAACAAGCCTAAATGGTCTTCAATATAGAGAGCTTTTGGACACATATAAAAGACCTTCGATTATATAGGACAAAACAAGTATGCAAAGGCTATAGTCGTGCGGGGCCGACTATGTTATACCCTACAACACTACAGTATGTTAGAAGCACCCTTATGTCCAAAACCATATTGGAATATTTCGCTTTTGAAATTAGGATTTTGACTAGGGACATTTGCCCAATATTTATGCACTCCGTCGTGCTGTTAGTTGTTGTAGTCCATTTTACAGCTAAAAATAATCCAATGGTCATCCAAAATGCTAGAATTCTTAACTGTCCTTAACTCTCTTCACAAGCGTATCGATTGGCTTCAATTGTGTGATCGGAAAAACATTTCTGTTTTTGGGTAATTTGAACCTATAAATATTTCGCAATCATCTCCAAAAGCAATAAGCCCCTCTGTATCTCCATATTTAGACTCATCTATATGATATGCTTGTCTACGATATTTGGCTGTATTCGTCAACGAAATCAGCATAAAAAAGCCAGAAGTTCGCATTTTGTGTATTTCGGATATCGACTGTAAGTAATGCTGGTATTCTTGCACACAAAATTAGCGGTCATTGTACCCGCTGTCCTAAACTCTAACTTTATGCGAGATTTCGTGTCCTCTGGTTTCTATTTGTCACCTTTATAACGGCTGCAAAATCAGGAAAATTTTTATTTGTTGGTCCATTTCAACCCCTAATTTATTGCGGACATCTTTGAAAACAATAGGCCTAGCCCTTCTGAGCCCAACCCTACCCTTGTGAAAATTTTCGGGAGGATCGGACGATTTTTGCAATCATTATATAATAAATCCAACCTGTGTTGTAAGGTAAAAAAATATTAAAAAATATTATAAGTTAAATTGAAAAAATAGCATGCGATAAAAAATATGAAAATAATAAAAAATGTCACAAAATACTACAAAATCTATATTAACATCATTATTGGCGTATTT